TGAGGTTGGATTGGGCTCGCAGGTACTGTAGGGATTTGTGGTCCGTGCGAACAGTGACGTCGGCGCCCACCAGGTAGCATCGCCATAGTTTAAATGCGTGTATAATGGCGAGCATCTCCTTGTCGTGGATCGGGTAGTTGCATTCGGCTGCCTGCAGCTTGCGTGATTCGTAGGCTATCGGCTGCAACCCGTTCCCGAAATCTTGGAGGAGCACAGCTCCGATGGCGAAATCTGAGGCGTCGGTTACAACTTCGAACGGCTTCGATGGGTCGGCGATGCGCAGCACAGGAGGGGACACGAGAAAATTCTTGAGTTCCTGGAACGCCGCTTCTGCCTCCTCCCCCCACACAAAATTCTTGTCCTTGTGCAGCAGGTCGGTCAGTGGGCCGGTTATCCCCGCCATATTTGGGATAAACCTCCGGACGTAATTTACGAATCCGAGGAAACTCTGGAGCTCCGTGACGTTCGTCGGGGACTTCCACTCCTGTATGGTCTTGATTTTTGCCGGGTCGATTTTAATGCCGTCGCGCGAGATGACGTGCCCCAAAAACTCCAACTCCTGCTTAAAAAACTCGCACTTAGAGCCCTTGGTGATGAGTCGGTTCTCCTGCAGCCGCTTAAACACTGCGTCCAGGTCACGGAGGTGCTGCTCCCTTGTCTTGCTAAAAATGAGGATATCGTCTAAGTAGACGATAACGCACCGGTCTAGAAGATCCCGAAAAACCCTGTTCATGGTAAGTTGAAAAGTTGAGGGCGCGTTCGTGAGGCCGAAAGGCATCACTGTGAATTCGTAACTCCCGTAGCGTGTACGAAACGCAGTCTTGTAACAATCGTCGACGAAGACTCGAATTTGATGGTAACCGCCACATAAGTCAATTTTCGAGAAATAGCGAGCGCCACGAAGTTGGTCGAGGAGGTCGTCGGTTCGTGGGATTGGGTAGCGAGACTTGATGGTGACCCTGTTCAGCGCGCGATATGTCAGAGGTCCACTGGTGATCCCCGATTGATCCTAGAGAAGGGTTACAGGCACGTTGGCCTGGGGGGTTATGGGCGCACTGACCCGCTACTTAACAAGCCCTTTTATCCCAATGGTCTAGTGGTTGGGATTCTGTCATGGTATCAGAGCGAAGGTCTCGGGTTCGAATCCCGGTGTATGCACTTCGGGCATCCCAGTGCGGGGGGGTGTCAGAGGTCCACTGGTGATCCCCGATTGATCCTAGAGAAGGGTTACAGGCACGTTGGCCTGGGGGGTTATGGGCGCACTGACCCGCTACTTAACAAGCCCTTTGATCCCAATGGTCTAGTGGTTGGGATTCTGACACGATAGTCGATACACATGCGAAGCCCGCCGTCTTTCTTCGGAGTGAACAGAATCGGTGCTGCGACAGGAGATGTGCTGGCCCGAATGAACCCTTTTTCTAACAGTGCGTCGATTTGTCGTCGCAGCTTCTCGAGTTCCGACTGGGTCAACCGCCACTGTGTCCGAACGGTTGGTTGCGCTCCAGGTTCTAGCTGGATTTTGTGGTCCTCAGGTCTCTCCGGTGACAGTCCAGGTGGCAGATCGTCGGGGAAGATTTCCGGGTACCTCCGAATCAGCTCCGCTAAATCCGGGGGTACAGCTGCACACAGCTTCTCGATGTCTTTTCCTTCGGTGTCGACTGCCAACTCGCGTAAACAAACGGCGAACAGCTGCGCGCCCCTGTTGAAGTGGCGAGCTATAGTGATGGCTTTGACGCACGGGGCTTGGATGTAGTCAGGGGTCCATGTAGGGAGCTTAATTAGCCCCTCGTGCTTGTTGATGCTGCACGTCCCCGTTGTCCAGTCGATGACGGGGTTGTGCCGTCGCAGCCAATCGCGTCCCAGCAGTACGTCGCAGCCGTCCAATGTTGTCGCGAGGAACTTCATGCTGAAGCCGAAATCGTCGCCGCATTCGATCCTGACCGTCCGTGTTTCTTCCGTTATCGCCAGAGGCGTCCCGTCCACGAGGCGAGCGTCGATTTCGGGCAGACACCTGTCAAGTTGCAGCTTGCATTTTTTTGCGCTCGCCAAATTGAAGAGGCTATGACTGGCCCCTCCATCGACGAACATTTTCAGGTTATTTTTTAACACCTTACCAGCGACCAGCACAGGGTGATCCACGTGATTATCCCCGTTATTCGGCCGAGTGCGATCGATTGCATGAATCGGAACCACGACTCGGTGGGGATGGTGGGGTTCGGGCGACAGAGCAAAGTCAGTAAAGGGCCCGCTAATTACTGACTCTTCCCATTTCCCTGCTCCTTCCTGTCGTTCCCCGTCAGTGGCGTTTTCTCGCGGCAATCTTTCATGTAGTGACCCGTCTTCCCACACCAGAAACACGGTCCCTTAGGAGGGCGGTCGGGTGTATGGACGGCGTTGATCGTGGTCCGATGGGTCTGGCCACGAAAACGGTTTCCCTCCCGGGAAGCTGCTCTCGCGTACTGCATCAGCGCATCTGTGGACTCCGCCAACTGTACTGCTGCAAGAAATGACGTCGGACGGCCCCTACGAACCTCGTACTGTATCTCGTATTTGAGGCCGCTGATGTATTTATCCAGCCGTTCAGCTTCCGACATGTCATCGACTTGGTCGGCGAGGCTCATAAATGACGCCGTGTAGTCTTGGACAGAAGCCATCTGCGACCATGCACGCAGCTTCATGCGAGCTTGCTCCGAGGCGGATACGTGCTCGAAGCGACCTCGTAAGGCTGCACCCCACTCTTTCCACGTGCGTATCGTGGTCACTCCGAAGATCGACGTTGCCACTTGATTAGTTACTGTAGAGGTCCCGTCTGCCGCATGTGTCACACCTGTCGGCGTCCCTGTTTCCAAGGTTCGGCGCCACCACTCAAGCGCTGCACCTCGAAGAAGCGAAACTGCGTAATTAATACGCGTGGCGTCGTCATTAACTCTGCCTGCAGTAAAAAAGGCTTCGACCCCGAACAACCACCCTTTTACCGTAACCGTCTTGTCCGTAGGATTAAACGGGGGTGGATTGACGGGCTTGATCTTGATCGTTGTCACCGCAACTGGAGCTGCTCCCGCTCGCTGCCTATCCTCCTCTTCGAAGTCACGTGTGAGCGCATCCAATGGATTGCTCATCGCCTGACTGTTGCCCTCGCCTTCGCTCACAGGCGACTCCTGACGCGCTTCACCTCGCGTCTGGCGTAGTTCGGCGTTTTCCTCTCGTAGTGTCGTCACTTCCGCCATTAACGTCTTCATTCTTTCCTGCAATTCTGCCACTTGCGCCATCATCCTGTTGACCGCTTCCTGATCCATATGCCTAACGCTACGTCTGGTGGGCAATCGGGTCTCCGTGGCCTTCAGGCAAATGAAAACACGAACTATCGGAGTCGGGCAGGATTGAATTAACAATCCCTGCAGCCAACCGTCGTGTAGTCACTAAACCAGCCACACCCTATGCCACCAAACTACCCTCGGAAAAGCGGGGTGAACTAGGAAAGTAGCTCTGATACCAGGTGTTATGAGTTGTAAAAGAGAGTGCGCAGGTAAACGAATAACGAAGCTGTGACTGAATCAACTGCGAATACAATGAATGAAAAGACTAATGTAGGACTACTCTAGCTAGGAGGAAACCTCAGACGAGCGAGGTTGGGTGCAGGTTTGGCGATGGGAAAGCCGAAGGCAACGTGAGTAGCCTCGGCAGCATTGAAATCGGCCGAACGTGCGAACTCCGAAAATCGGGTTGTACGCGAAGTAGTCAACCCCGATAAGGAATTCGGGAAAATTCCTTACAAATACGGCCAGTGTATTTGTGGTGGACCCGTCCCTAGAGGCGAACTCGCGGTTTAGCACTCGTGGGCTGAGCACCAGTCCCCTTCCAGTTCTAGAATATTGCATCTTCTGCTGCCATTGGCTGAGCCTAGGTCTGCCACGTTTGAATGTCGGGACACTTCGAACACCTCGATGTTCGCGAATTTCGATCAGATCTGGGTCCACCACCACCACCTCTCACAGCGACCAGGGGCCTTCTGGCGCAGGACCTCGCGAAATGCTTTGCGACAGGGCTCACTGGCTCTGCTGGCATGACCCTGTCATGCGATGACGCTCTGTGTCGCAAGCGGATCAATCGTACTGCGTCAAAATGTGACTTGACACACAACACCCCCAAACACAATCAAGTAGTGAAACCACAGACGTTGCTGACATCGTCACTCATTTAGGCCTTGCCGCGGTATCGGCGAGGCGGGGATTCGGTTCGCTGTCTACTTATTCGGGTCTTAGCGGCGGGCAACCGTGTCGAGCCTTGTAATTCCTCGCGTCTCCTCGCAGGCGACCCGGCGACTCTGTTTCATCCATGGCGATCGCATCAGCAGCTTCGCTTCTCACCATCCTGGTCCTGATCGCAGTGGCGTCCACCGCATTCCTCCCCGCACGTGCGATCGAGAACAAATGCAGCGCGTGTGTCGCCATCTCGGTGAGCTGGCGTGAGCCAGGGATAGGCGGCGACACGATCCCAGCTTTGCTCGTTTATCACATTTTTAACACTCCTGAGGAGGGAGAAGCTTTTTAAATGGAGAAAACTTCCAGTTGCACGCAATTGAGGGATACGTAGAAACGAACGAACGAATCAGTTCCTGAAGCACCTGCAATTCCCTCGAGCTCATCACTCTTGCCCTTCTACTCCTCCACACCTGACTTTCGGGTCGTATGATGTACCTCCGCGTCCGTCCATCGTCTCTTCTCGCCCGTGCCTCCTTGTCCCTCACTCTCTCAGTCGCACTTTCTCTCCCTCCAACTTCTTTTGCGGCGCTTTTCCCACACTATCGCGTGCATTGCTGCCGCATCTCCTGTGCACTCTGCTCCCCCTTTCCTCTCTCTCACACACACCCTTTCCTCTTCTCTGTCCTCCCACGTCTCTCGATCCCGCGATTCCGCCATTCCCCCACAATCCTCGGCGTCGCGAATGACGTGGTTGGGCCGGGTGATCTCCATGGCGGCTGTCGTGCTTACGGCGAGCAGAAGGAGCTGCTGCTGATACTGTCAGAGGTGGGTCATTGGTGCAGGTGATACTAGAAAAGGTGGGCCATAGGCGCAGTATATTCGAGTGAGGACGAGAGACAAGGGAGGGCAAGACCGAGAGAGGAAGAGGGGGAGAGGAAAGCGGAAGAGGAAGAGGGAAGACGGGGAGACGAAGAGGGGGAGAGGAAGAGGGGGAAGGGAAGAGGAGGGGAGGAAGAGGGGGAAGGGAAGAGGAGGGGAGGAAGAGGGGGAAGGGAAGAGGGGGGGAGGAAGAAGGGAGGGCCCGCGGTGGAGAATGACGAGGACAGTTGTGATTGCCTCTAACGGTGCCGTGTGCTTGTGGCGGATGGGTACGTGTGTATGTGCGAATGTGTGTCTCTGTGTGCGTGTTTGTGTGTGTGTGCATGTGCATGCGTGCGTGTGCATGGCGGCATGTGTGAGTGCAGGAGCGGCCGCGCAACCATCTGGACATGAGGAATCGGCTCAACTCACAGGGCAAGCGCGAGGGCAAGCTCATCGACTACAGGTGCCATGGCGCCACGGGTCACGGAGGGTGGGGAGGGATCATGTGCGGTGGGGGGGGGGGGGGGGAGGGGAAGATCACGTGGGTGTGGGGAGGGATCACGTGTGCTTGGGAAGGAATCAATCAAGTGGGGGAGGGTTGATCACGTGGGTTGGGTGTGATCATGTGGCTGGGATCACGTGGGTGGGGGGATTACGTGTGGTGGGGATCGATACAAGGCTATGGGACTGGCTGGGTGTTACACGTGGTTATTGGGCATGCTTAGCCTGTGCGTGCACTGCACTTGTGCCTGCATACTCTCCTGTCACCCTCCGCACAACTAGTTGAGCTCCCACACTTGCATAGCCCTTTTTACCCAACCCCCTCTCCCCTCAAACGAATCAAATAGCATTGTTTTAACATGCTGTGGTATATGATGTGGGGGCATGGCACGTCCATGACGTTGCATGGCGTGGCATGGCGTGGCATGGTATGGCATGGCATGGCAGGGTGAGTGAGCTGCGAGCAGTGGAGATCCTGGACGGGCTGTGCAAGAAGATGGACAAATACTCCATCGTCACTGTGAGTGCCCGGGGGAGCCACGCTTGTGACCTTGAGAGGCCACGGGCTCTTATATGAGTGCCCAAGGGCGCGGCGTTATGAGTCTTTGAGAGAAAGGGCTGCAAGGTCTGGTGATTCTGTGGAGGACGATGCATCGATTTCCTTTCTTGTCTGGAGCACTGTCGACTTGATGCAAGCGGAGCCATCAGAGTCCTCTTCCTATCTCCCTATGTGCTTCGCCTGTGTGGTTACCTGTTGGGGCATGGTACAGAAGGACGAGAGGCGGGTGTGGAGCTCTCACCGCGACTACTCTCGATCAGCCAACACTGACAGAAGTGCGCCTCACACATGCCGCCCCTCCCCCCCTCTCAAACCACCAAAGCACCTGATTACGCAGTCTGCCACTCGGCACTCTGCTACTCTGCCACTATTCTAACAGCGCATTGCATGCTCGTGCCCTCGTGCCTTTGTGTTCCTGCCTCAGTATACTCTGCACAGCCAGACTGTCGAGACACCCCCTTACTCCTTCCCCACACCCCCATCCCCCTTCTCAAGTCTCCTGTTTCCCCTTCCTTGGTGACTCCGCTGTTCTCTGGTTACCCCCTTGTTGGCAACGCAGAGAAGCTGATTCGCGAGGAGCAGGGCAAGGAGATCAAGCGGTGGTGCGACAGGTGAGGGTTAAAGATGGCCTTCCATTATGCACCTTGTGCCAATTTCCATAACCAGCTTCATTGTGCCGCCTCTTCCTTATTTGCGAATTCCCAAAAGCAACCCCTCTGCCATTCTTCTCTTTCTCTCTTTCTTGTCTGTGTGCGACTGCAGGCTGCTGGAGGAGTATGAAGATGATGTGAGTGCTCTCCCCTCCCCTCTCCCTCCGTCTCTCTCACTGACTTGCATGCTTGCAGTAACGCATGTACAAGCTTGCACACACACGCATGCACACACACATATACGCTCATACACAAACACACTCTCTCTCTCTCACACACACACACACACACGCACACACACACACACACAGCGCGCGATCATGTGGGAGCACATGTAAGCACACATAACCCGCGTGTGCCCCACGGACCGCCATGGCCCCCACGTGCATGTTGAGGAGCAGATCACGGCACAGCTGCAGTCGGGCGACCTGAACATGGAGGCAGACGTGCCGGCGCTGCTGTGTGCGCGCATCACGCCCAGCTGCAAGGCCAAGGCGTTGCAGCGCGAGGTGCTCGCTGCCGATGATGGATCCTCGCCCTCCTCCGGGTGAGTGCCCGCACTGGGATGGGAATCGTACCACCCTCCTGGGTGACTGCACCAAACAGCTACCTCCCTGTGAACGCGGGCTGTGGAATTTGTAAGAGGATGCTCATCGAGGTGTTTTCGCGGGGGAGGCTTCGTTGATATGTCCCTTGAGACGGCTCAGAAGCCAGTTCTGCTTGCAGAGTGTGTGTTGTTTCGTGGGTTGTCATGCGCCGTCTGCAGCAATCTCCGCAGTTACACACACATCCCACAGTCTAGGAGCACAGCAGCTTGCAACCCCTGCCAATCCCAAGGATTGGATACCCTCCTGCACACCCGCTCTCCTTACACCATCTCCTGCTGCCGTCCCGTCCCACACTCATCCGTTTCTCCCATTCCCTTGGTTCTCCCACCTCCCTCTCCCCACCTCGTGCCCACGCTCCATGTGCAACCATGTCACGTTCCTTCCCATCAGAGTGAGCGCCACCATATCACCATCCACGGGTGGAGGCCTCGTGGATGTGACCGACGAGCAGAGCACCTCGGGTGCTGATGCAAGTGACAAGGCTGGGGAGGCAGCAGCAGAAGCAGTGGATGAGTTATAAGGACTGTTGCCGTATGTTGGGTAAAGCATGACTGGTGGTGTGGCGTATGGTCGGATGCCTGTAAAACGGCTCGCAAAATCTATTTGAAAACAACGGTTATTTCAGAACATCAATCATGCATTCACATGGGAATCTGGTACCTTGGCAGAACTAACCCTCGCCATAATCTCTGCAAAGTGCAAACCAGGGGCTTGCCAACGTGAACTAGCAATGCATGTGTATATTGTCATGTGGATTGTCGCATACGCAAGGGTCAACACATAAATCTCAAAAGATACCGTACCGTAGATCTTGATATGTACATTCCAACTACCAAAAGAGAAACGGAACGAGGTTTCCCAACTCTCAGGTGCTGAGGTGAACCCCACACCACACATACCATGCTCCACCACATTCCTGCATCCACTGCACAAGTGCACTACACAAGCAGCAGCTCGCCACTCAGGTCACTGCCTGCTGCGTTACGCATCCAGCTCGTCCTCCAGGTGCTGGTACTCAAACATGAAGTCGTCCTTCACACGCTGACACCTGGCAGCACGGCAGGGCGACACGTGGCAGGAGGTGCAGGGTGGAGGGGGGAGGACGGAGGGGAGGGGAGCTTGTTGCACTGACGTCACAGTTGCGAACTAGAGGGGGGAAACTTGCGAAACGCAGTCTGCAGAGGAGGAGGACAAGGAGGAGGAAGAAGATAGAATAGAACATGCAGATGAACATGAAGAGAAGAGGACTAAGTCGAGGACGAGCAGAAGAAGAGGAGGGAGGGGAGGGGAGGGGAGGGGCTGACCAGCCTGTGGAGACACCGGGCTGTGCGTCGGAGGGGTGGGGCGCGTGCAGGTGGAAGTCAAAGTACACATAGCCTCCCCTCTCGTACTCCTCCGTGATCACCTGCGGTTAGCGCGAGAGAGGAGGGCGGGCGGGGGAGGAAGGGAAGAAGAAACGAAAATCTCAGTCTGCTGTTCCAATGCTTCTACCTGGCACCACATTGACATGGAAGGCTGCTTGAGAGAGAGAGGGCAGCATAAACACATGCACAAGCACGAAGGGAGGCAGCAGGGCAGGCAGCGGGGGCTCACGGGTGGGGTGACATGGCGCTGGAACCAGGTGTTGTAGCCCTTGTGGAAGCGCCACGACTGCTTCTTGAGCTCCCTGGCCGCCAGGTACTGCATGTACGTGCTCTGTGCCGTGCAGCACCGCGCCGCATGGCAGGGGCGGCCGTGAGGGAGTGGCACGTGAGGGAGTGGCACGTGCGAGAGTGGCACGTGAGGGAGTGGCACGGCACGTGAGGGAGTGGCATGAGGATTTCACGTGGCACAGGAGGGGATGGCTGGGTGGCACATGCATGCAATGCCAAGCAATCGTCCTTGTGGGGGCTTGCATAACACATGACGCGAGCAAGACAGAGACGGTTGACCAAGGGGAGTGAAAGGGCGAGCGGGAGAGCGCGGGAGTGGGAGGGCAGGAGAGGGGGCGACCTGTTGGAAGTAGAAGGCGAAGAAGAGCGCATCCATGCCGAGGTGCTCAAAGAGCGCCCGCGCATGCTCCGGTGCAATGGGCTTGTGCGGCCACATGGCCGGCACCTCACACGGGCGCACCGGCCGCACCACTGCACTTGGTGCACTGCTGGTGGGGTGGGGGAGAGAGAGCGGAGGCCGCGCGGAGGGTGAGCAGAGGGAGGGGGAAGAGATAGCAAAGGGAGAGGGGAGAGAGTGTGGAGAGGCAGGAGGGGGAAGAGTGAGTGAGCAGGAACGTGGTGCAGGCAAGGAATAAGGGCCAGGCGAAGGTGCGGTGTGGGTGGAAGGTGTCCCTCAAGGCTTCAACGAGGGCGGTCTGCAGCAAGTCACATGCACCGCCCATTCCCACCTGCTCTGCCTCTGCACTCTCCCAACCCTCCTTCACCCTTCTCCCTCCCCACTCCCCCCTCACCTTCATCACCCCCCACTATCCCCTCCCCCTTCCACCCTTCGCCCCTACCCCCCTCTCTCCTCCGCCCTCCGCCCTCGGCCCAGCTCGTGCATGCGCACCTGCTCGTGAGCACGCGGTCATCCATGCCATGGTCACGCATCTGCTGGAACCCACACAGCAACGCACTACGCTCCTCCTCCCGCCGCCGCTCCACCCCCCACGCTGCTGCCCCACACACAGTAGGGAATGGGGTGGGGAACACACAACAAAGAAACGCCTTTTGCGGTGCCTCAGCAGTCGTCTCTCATCTACAGTTCTGAGTAGGTTGAGACTCAAGAATCCCGTACACTTCGTTTCAGATTCCGCCTGCCGTACCTGCTGCATCGCGCAGGGGTGGAAATGGGGAACACACAGCACAGCCCAGACACAACCCACCACCCACCCTGTCACCCTACCACCCACCCTGTCACCCTACCACCCACCCTGTCACCCTACCACCCACCCTGTCACCCTACCACCCACCCTGTCACCCTACCACCCACCCTGTCACCCCACCACCCACCCTGTCACCCCACCACCCACCATGTCGCCCCACAGACTGGGCATGGGCAAGCATCACATAGCAATTCATGCATGTCCACACACTACTGCCAACTAGAAACTGCAGACACCGCAGCAGTGGGCATGGCAAGTGGAGTGACCTGGCGGCAGCAGCACGCACCTGGAGAGGGGGTTCGTGCCGTGGGACCCCCCACTCCACCCGGCCCCGCACTCCCAACCCCTACCCCTCCTGCTGCCGCTGCTGCTGTGCCTGCAGCTTGTGGCAGTGCTGCTCCTCCTCCTCCTGCTGCTCCTCCTACTCCTCCTCCTGCTCCTCCTGCTCTGCCCCACACTGGTTGCATCTGTGCACCTGCAGCAGCAGCACCAGCAGAAGGCATCCCACCCGGATGGCCCCCAGCAGCTGCCCCTGCTGCTGCCGCCACTGATGCTGCAGCAGCCAGCGACGTGGCTTGCAACATTGATGGGGACGGGGACAGGGAAGGGGAGGGGGATGGCGAGGGGGAGGGGGCAGGCCCACCACTGCCCCCCAAAGGAACACCCCATGCAGAGGGGGGGCGCATAGGGGCAGGGGGCGGAGCCTGTGACAGCCCCGTCACGGGCATGGATTGGGTGCGGTCAAGTGCGGTGAGGGAGGGGTGGTTGGGGAGCAGTGGGAGGGGTTGCGGTGCCTGGTTGGCATGCACTGGTGCCCGCACCTGCTGTGGCTGCACCAGCTGGGACGACTGGAACATCTGCTGCGCCTGCACCCTCTCCTGCTGCTGCTGCTGCTGCTGCTGCTGCTGCTTGTGAGAGGCAAGAGCCATCTGCTGCGCCTGCTGAGCCAGCAGGCTCTGCTGCAGCGATGGCAGCACACCTCCCTGTGCCCCCGGATGCACTGGCAACTGCCGTAACAGCGCCTGCTGCTGCTGCACCTGCTGCGCCTGCTGTTGCTGCTGAGCGAGGAGCGGCAGTGCAGCATGCTGCTGCATGAGGTGCTGGTGCTGCAGCTTCTGCATCAGCACTCGCGAAAGGCTGGGAGGCACCTGCTGCAGTGCAGCAGGCATGTCTGCAGGCGCTCTCTGCCACGCCCCTGCTGCCGCCCCCAGCGGTGCACCAGCAGCTGCAGCTGCACCACCACCAACACCGCCAGCAGCAGCAGCAGCAGCAGCAGCAGCAATAGCAGCAGGAGCAGAAGCGACACCCTGAAGGTCATTCTGGCTCAACCCTCTACTCATCCTTCCTGGTTGAATGAGTGACGAATGCCCACCTCCCAGCAGCGGCACTCCGTGCTGCCCTGCCCCTGCTACTCCAGCTGTCCATGCCCCCTGCTGCCGCCCATCCAAAGCCCCTGAGGGAAACGTCCCACCTGCCCCAGCTCCCCTGATCGTATTAGGGGTTAGTGGGGCGCCCTGGGGGGTGAGCGTTCCCCCTGACGCGGCTGCCGGTGGGGGGAGAACGGGGACGGAGGCGGGGAGGTATGCAGTGGCGACGCCAGTAGCAGCAGCCTCAATGGGGTTTGGGGGTTCAGCAGCAAGGGAGTCTAGGGAGTCTGGGAGGACGGGTAAGTCCACTGTGATTGCAGAGGCTGCTCGCCGCAGCAGCAGCGAAGACTGCTTGCCTGCAACAAGTACAGCAGGGTTTAAGGTTTAGGGTTAGCATGGCAAGCCATGGCAGTTAGCCCGAAAGTGCACAGCAGGTGCGGGTACAGCGGGCGTTGGAGTTCAGAAATCACAAAGTAGCGGCTAAGATTTGACAAACGGTCGTGGCTCTGCTGGCCCACAGCAGATATGGAGATTTGTACTGCGAGAACGCAAGCAAAGAAGCCCGCAAGGAAGCACGCAAAGGAAGCGAGCATGCAGAGGGTAATAGAGTCCACACAACTACCACGAGTGGCTCACCTTCAGCTGCTACAGGGCTGGACGGGCCAGCAGACGAAGGTCTGGACAGCAGCAGCTCCGAGGGGAGGGCGGGGGTATCTTGAGTGCGCGCATGAACGCTACTGCTGCTGCCCTCCGCCCCACCCTCTGCACCAGCGCCCTTGCCATGCACACCTCCTCCAACTACAGCAGCCGCAGCAGCAGCAGCCGCAGCAGCACCTGCAGCAGCGGCAGTGGCAGCAGCAGCGACGGTTGTTGTAGTGAGCCGGTCCTTCCCAGGAGCGGGTGCAGGTGCGGGTGCTGCTCCCTGCCCCCTCTCCTGCTGCAACAACCGGCCTCTCCTTCCCACACCCGCAGCACCAGCGCCAGCAGCACCAGCACCAGGTGCAGCAGCCGCAGAGGAGTCCGAGGCAGCGGCAGCAGCAGCGAGTGCAGCAGAGCGGATGGACGTGAGCGAGCGCAGAAACGCAATGCTCCCACCCATGTCCCCCCTCCCCACCGCCCCTCCCGCCTCCTTCTCCCGCCGCTCCTCCCTCTCCCCAACCCCACCCGCCAGTGCCTTCTCTGCGCCCTTCCCCACCTGACTACTCCCACCAACACTGCCGCCTACCTTCCCCATCAGACTACCAGCGCTGCTGCTACTCTTATCCAGCATTGTGCTACTCTCGACTCCTAATCTCCCTGCCTTCCTTCTCCCTGCGTCCCGTGCGCTCGTGGCAGCTTCCTTCCCCTCTGCTTCAACCTCCACCACTGCTGGTTTCTCCGCCTGGACGGCCTTTGCAATGGATGGTTCTGCACACAGGTGGTTTGCAGGAAAAAGAAACACGGAGCGGGACAAGAATGAGCGGGAAGTTGTTCTTGAGAACTAGCAGAAGACATCACGGAGTCAAGGTTGAGGCGCAGAAACAGATGAAACGAGACTCGGTATGTATGAAAGCCATAGAAACCCACCAGGCACACCTTTGTCCCGCGCTCCAACCTTGCGCTTCGCGTCTCCCTCCCCACCCTCCTCATCCCCCAGTTGGATTGACAGAGGTGACGACTGCGCGGATCCCCTCACTTCCCACCCCGCCTCCCCACCAGCCCCCTTCCCCGCCCCACCGCCCCCCTCCTTGCCTCCGCCTCGCCCCACCGCTCCCCCTTCCTGCCGATCTGCCTCCCCCTCCGCCTTCGCTTTCCCCTTCACCTCCCCTTCTGCGCCACCTGCTTGGTCTACCCCCTTGCGCTGGGGTCGAAACGACGCCGAGAGGTGGCGCTCTGGAGCAGCAGAGATGGCGGCAGAGACTCGCGAGAGAGGGCTGCTCGTGCTGCCAATGGTAGTGGTGCTTGTAGCAGGTTCAAACACGGTGGGCAGCGGCGAGAATGGCTTGAGGGGCGAGGAGGCGAGGAGGGATGTGGAGGGGGAGGGGGAAAGCGGGGACGGGGAGAGGGGGGAGGTGTCGAGCCTGGGGTTGCGGGGGCAGGACAGGGCGGATGGCAGTCGCGCTGCTGGGGGGGGGGGGGGTGGGGGAGGGGGGAAGACGGGAAAGGGGAAGGGGGTTGGACCGCGTAATACGTTGGTTGGTTGGCATGATGGGCCAGGATACACAATTGAAACAGGGGCAGGGGTTGGACGCACAGGGGTGGATTGGCAGGCATGGATTGACATACCTTTCACTTTTCCGATCTGAGGGCTGGCAAGCTCCTGAACAGAGACAGCACACAGCAAGTCACATGCGTCAGTCCCTGCCATCGCCTAGATTACGTTTTCAGCAACAACAACTTGAACCGAATAAAGACAGGCAGTACCACTAGAGGTGTGACGTGACGAAATTACAGGGCTAGGAAATTGTTGTGTTGACTCAAACGTCACACCAATCGAACAGGAGAGGGGTGGAGGGGGTTGGGGATAGAATCAACTCAACAGTGACCAGGAACGAACAGGAATTGCGGGTGGGGGAAACGGACACCTTGGGCGGGGAGTCGTGGGTGGAGGAGAAGGGTGAGGAGGAGGCCGAGGTGTGTGGACTCATAGACGCCGTGGGCGTGCGAGAACCTGCACGGCGACACTCCCAAGGCGCACGGCACGGCACGGCAGAGTATATCAGGGTAAGAAGCACTTGGAAGCTCCTTGCTCCTCAGAGAGGCAGCGACGAAGGAAAAACACTAGAGTATGGCCACCACGCATTAAGCTGTGTGGTCAGTTCGGTGCAGTGCGGTGCGGCGACTCACTGGTGGAGAAGGCAGCAGAGTCGTCGTTGAGCTTGCCAAAGAGCTTGTGGAAGGGCATATCATCGTACAGCGCATCGTCCGCCATGTAGTCCTCGTCCTGGTGGCGGGGACACCGCCACACACACACACACACACACACACACACACACACACACACACACACACACACACACACACACACACACACACACACACACTCACTGTTAAGATAACAAAAGGATCATGCTCGCACGGAGGATACACGGATCATGTGTGTCGGTGCGTGTGATATTCGAGAGACATGCTGTGTGTGGGAGGAGGCCATGGGCACCTGGTGCATGTCGAGGTACCAGGAGATGCTCTCCTTGAGTGCTTCCACGTCCTCTGGTGCGATCTCCTCGTTCTCCAACAGCCGCAGCACCTGCCGTGCACCGCACCCCCCGCCATGCCCAGCCCACACTCGTCAGTCAGCCTCACATGCAAGCCATGTGCATGGTGCCACGTGGATGGTGCCATGTGGATGGTGCCACGTGGATGGTGCCACGTGGATGGTGGCACGTGCATGGTGGCATGTGCATGGTGGCATGTGCATGGTGGCATGTGCATGGTGCCATGTGCATGATGACACCATACAGCTTCACACCATTGCAAACCACTTGCCTGATCCAGCTTGGTCTTGTGCCAGCCATGCTGAAGGAAAGGAGCGGGTAACAAGGAAGGCAGGGGGGGCAGCTATTAGCTAAGGAGATCGGTTCCATCACCTGCAACCCCATGCACCCATATGCCAGCATACCCTTGTGAGTACACGATGCTTCAGCGGAGATGTGCTGGAACCATATTACTTGGATTTCCAACTTTCGGGCAGCAATATTTCACATGCTTTCAAAAAATCCTCCAGATTATTTGGAAGCTATAGCCTGCGGCCCGCAGAGAAGCCCATCATACCTTGGTGACATGGCCTTCCAGCTCCAGCACCCTGGCATTGAGCTTCTTCCCCGTCTTGCCGCCTGCCAGCCCCAGTGGGGAAGTGCATAACGAGGATGTTGAGAGCCATGGAGTAAGCAGAAACAATGTTGCCGTAGTGCATGGTAAGAACGCTGGGAGTGCCGGGAGTGCTGAAAGTACTGGGAGCGGAGGGCAGACTGGGAGCGTCTGGGAGTGGTGGGAGTGCAGAGCAGTACCTGATATGGTTTCGATCTCGGCCTCGTACTCATCGATCTGCACCTGCAGAGAATCCATTGACTGATCCACATACAATCACACACACCAGAACAACGGATTGCCGTGCTTAGAACCACGGGCCCTTGCTTGAATCATGAGTCCTTGTAACTAGGTGAGTTGATCAATAAGAGTTTTCCACAGATTTGGTAAAGAGACCAGAAAGGATGAATCCAGAGATCTGTAGCGAAAGTTGCAAGCAGACAAGCACACAAGCACAGAAACACAGAAGCGCAGAAGCTGACATGCACACAAGCAAGGAACTGACCTTCTTCAGAAACGCAGCTGCCTCCACTTTCGCCTTCTCCGATGGGTCCTTCCGGGACTGCCACACTCACAGCACACCACACACACACACACCACACACACACCACACAGACACACACCACACACACACCACACAGACACACAGCACACACACACCACACGCGAACGCCAGGAGCACGCTTGAGAATGCTCAAGCTTGGGAGTGCTTAAAGTACGCACGCGAACGCCACGGGCAGGCAAAACAAGGAAAGCAATGTCACGCTGATACGATGACGACGATGATAATGATGCTGTTGAATCACCACCACCGCATTACATTCTGGCCGTGGCAGGGTCCGCAGTGGAGGCAGCAGCAACAGCAGCACAGACCTGCTGCACGAGGCCTTCCTTGGAGAAGGCCTTGATCTTGCTGGCCTTCTCGCACTGCTTGAACCGCTCCATCTCCACCTCTATCTGCCGACGCGCCGCCTCCAGCTCCTCCAGATGCGCCTTCGCCTCGCTCGTTGACAGCCATGACCGGATCTGGTCGCGCACACTGCCGGGAATAGCCGGGACAGGGATCGGGATTCGGGATTGAGACCAGGACTGGCACCGGAGTTGGGACTGAAAACCAGGGGATTGGCGTGAACTTGGCAGCTTAAAGCGGTGCTGCCGATCCGGACCAGGCCCAGTTCCATCAGTGAAAATTTTACAAGCATATGAAAAAAGGACTTACAGATCGATCGGACTGTTTCCCAGCCTCCATGTCTAAGTAGCAACCAGAAACCGACCTCAAAACGACCGGAAGCCGACTGGAACCGACTAGAAACACACCAGGCACCGATCAGACGGGCGTGGGTGCAGCGGCTGGCTTACCGTTGGAGGCGCTTGAGCTCTTTCTTCAGCTCTCCCTCGAACTTCTCCTTCTTCGTCACCTGCTCGCCGCACCACACGCACCGCAACCCGTCGTCAGTAGTAGTACTGCTCCCTAACCTTCCCTCGGTAACAGGGAAAAAAAAAAAAAAAAAAAAAAAATCTATATAATTCCGCGTGGTTCGTCCTACATCAGTGGCCTCGTCCATCTTCTGCCACGTGGACTGGAACTCGTCGATCCCCTCCTGGACTCGCTTCAGCGTACGTTCCATCTCCAGGTGCATCTTCCTTGACGCCGCCATGGCGGGCCGCGCTCTGCTGGACTGCACCAGCACCAACCACAATCCCGCTCACGAATTGGAAATTGCGGTGAACGATCTGACGCAGAAGTCCCCGCGAAGACCTCCAACCTCGATGGTAACAACGCTCGCCAACGGAGCGAACGGAACGAACGGCGTGCGAAACGGTACGAATAGGAGGTGCAGAAGGCAAGGAGGGTTCGGGATAATAAACCTCCATACTCTCGCTCTCTTTCCCCCTTCCCCAGTGCGTGCGTGAGGCTGCGCGCCATCCTTAGGTGGCGTGCTGCACGTGACGGACGCCCTCTGCTGCGGCACCGTAGAGACGCGCGGCAGTCCCAGGGTGACCCCAAAGCACGCCCGTTCAGGAAAACCTGCACTAGCTTTTCTCTCCTGCTATCGACCCCCCAAGAAGGCTCACGCCAAACCGCACTGCACTGATCGGCTCGCCGCGTCACCATATCCACTCGCAGGAACCCAGAGAGAATCCAACCCCAAGAGAGCCCCAAGCAGGTGCTCGCGGCGAGAGTAGGGGAAACTCCTCCTGCCTCCCTGCAAGCCGAATTGCCACCTCGCGAATTCGCTCGTTTGCATGCAGTCTGGTGTGGCTTGGCGCGCTGTAGGCTGGCGTCGCGGTATGGATGCTGCTGATGGGAGGATTCAGGAATTGGGCTGGATCCAACTATTTATCAAATGTCTAGCTAGATCAACTGACAAGTAGACACATACAAAATTTATTTATGTTGACAAATCAAGCACAAAGCAATTACCTAAAATACAACCCACAACCTTATGGTTTGAGAAAATGACAACTGTGCTAGACTTAATCCTTACGCCGCTTTACCAAAACATATTAAAGAAGTAAGCAGTACCGTATCAATGACCCCATGGATGAAACGACTTGGTACCAGCAGCCGCCACCCTCTTATGTTGACTTGGAGAGGATGACATATGGGAATCAGGATGACATCATTTCAAGAAGGTGGTCGGGCCCATGCCCATCCCCATCCACTTGGCCTGCCTGAGCTTCACGCAGCAGCTCCTCCAGGAGAACCCCATAATCCACCACCCCCCCTCCCCCATCACCCGGCTGAAGCTGCTGCAGCTGCTGCAGCTGTGACAGCCTCAGCGCCTTTAAATCCTGCGCCTCATTCCGCATCCGAGCCTGCTGCTGCTGGCTCTGCTGGTGCTGCAGGAACATCAGCTGCCCTGTGGAAAGAAACGGACTCGCATCCTGAAGAGGTGCACAGGCTCGCTCTGCTTTCACCTGCTCCTGCTGCAGCCGCAGCTCCTGCCGCAACTCCTGCTCCTGCTGATGCAGCAGCAACAACTCCCTCTCCTGAGACAAACCAACTCCACCATCCGCTACAGCACTACTCCCCAGGCCCGTGTTAACATTCGTCGCTGCACCAAGCCCCGTGGGAACGGCATTGGCAGCGCCGGCAGCAGAATAAGCGAAGGCTCCTTTGGACTTGCAGGGAGGCACTGTCCCTGAGAGCATGTCTGCAATGCCCGCCGCGCCCTGGACTTCCTTGAGCGACTCCAAGTAGCTCTGCCGCACCACTGACATGTTGAACGCCTCACACGCCGCCGCCCCAGCAGAGATGCCGCCAGCACCGGCAGTGGCAGCAGTGGCAGTGAGCGAAGGAGACGCCGAGCGCATGGTGCCTACCGAGTGCCCGCCACCACCCATGGGGGCCCTGCCATCTGCGGAGGGCAGGCAGGGGCCCCCAGGCAGCCCAGCAGTGAGCGCTCCCACGGAGTCAGCAGCCCCACCCGGGCCGATCCACAGCCCTGCACCCGCTGCACTCCTCCATGCGTCCGCGCCCACACGACTCCGCCCGCCTTTCCCTGCAGCCGCGGCAGCAGAGGCGGACGAAGCGGACAGGGCAGCAGGATCCATGCCCGAGTCACCGCCCACGCACGCTGCAAAGGCGTCAGCGTGGAAAGAGGGGGAGTCGGAGCCGACAGGCTGGGAGATCCAGTCAAACAGCCCGTCCACGGACGTGGGAAACCCGAACGCGCCGGCATTGCTGCCCGCGAGCGCTGAGGGATCCGCGTGCTGCTGCTGCGCCTGCAGATGCTGCCGCTGCTTTGCATGCAGCTGAGCCTGCAGCCCGCCCACCACGCTGCTCAGCGCCGTCGCGTCGGGCAGAGACGCAGCGGCCGCGCCAGGTGTGTTGCGGTGGAGAGCGGTGGGCGCCGTGGCTGCAGTGTGAAGCAGGGAGGGCTGCGGCGGGGAGGGTACGGGGGGAAGGCCGAGCGCCTTCATGAGCTGGCGCACATTGGCCGCGGAGCTCCCGAGGGGCGGAGAGGCGGAGCCCCCCGAGTGCGCACCAGGAGCTCCCCCTGCCGAGCCGTGTCCGTGTCCGTTCCTACGCCGCAGCTTCGCCAGCAGGTTCGGCACAGAGTGGTTCGGCATCGTGTGGTGCTTGCGAAGGGAGGCGTGCTGGAGAGGGCTGTTGCTGCGCCGCTGGCCGTGGGCGGAAGGGCCCGCGGGGGGTAGGGGGAACTGCGCGGGGGGGACCTCCGCGGCGGGCGCGGCGGAAGCAGTGGCAGAAGGAAGCGAGGGCGCGGTGGCGTCGAGACCGAGCATGTTGCAGAGGTTGCTGCGCGGACGAGAGAAAGGGGGTACAATGGGGGAGGAGAGAGGAGAGAGGGGAGCGCACAGGCACGCCCAGGGACAGGAGAGCAAATGGTGAGGCGCTATACAGAGGAAGTTATAAAGGGCGGAAAAGACGGGCGGGAAACGTGGGCAACCGCGGGAGGGAAGTCGTAGAGATCGAGCAATAAATCCTCCGCGACTCCGCTTACAGCATATCAGCGGACGGAGGAGCTCTGCACGCCGCGCGCGGAAGACCCTCGGATGCGGTCTCCTGATACGCGCTCGCAGAGCGAGGAATGGCTGACGCGGATAATCCAAGCCCCGTGAGTCTTCCGTCGGAGCGCCGCGGCGCTGATACAGCTGACGTGGATGCAGACGGATTAGTCGCCGCCGGCGCGGTCGCCGTCGCCGCCACCCCTGCGACGTCCATGTCGACGTCGCCACCCCCAGTCGTCGCAGTGCTCCCGCCAGGCGTGCCAGTCGCAGACCCCCCGCCCGTCGACTTGCCATCCACCGACATAGCGCGCGACACGCCCGCGCCGTCCACGGCGGAGCCCAGTGATGCGCCATAGGCTCCCTGCTGGGAAGTATCCGCGCGGAGCGGCGAACGGGCCGCGGAGACAAACCGGCGGAGGCGCTTCATGTCGGAGAGATCGCCAGAGGCAGCAGCCGCGGATGCCGCCGCGCCGGCCGCCATAAAACTCCCGCCTTCCGACAGCGCCCGCTTGTGGCTGAGCCCCGTGGTCTCCCATTCAAGACCCGCCTGCGCTCCGCCCGTCGCGCCGCACGCCCCGGTCGCGGACGCTGACCCCCGCGCGCTCATATCGAACAGCGCTGGCGGCCGCAAGACCTCCGCGGAACCCGCCTGCTCGCCATCCGCGTCGTCGTCGGGGACGCGCGGTTCCAGAGTGGTGCTTCCGCACCCGCCGCTGCCGCGCCCGGTTCCGCTGCACGTAGCGGAGGCCAGCCCGGGACTCTCCTGCTGCGCCTTCGGCTCGTCGTTGGCCCTCCGCATCTCCGCGCTTCCGCTTGCGCCGCCAGCTGAGGCGGAAGCGGCGGGATGGGCGGACGAACCGGCGGCTGCGGGTCCGCTGGCGACTTTTATATCTGCGGTTGCCGCGGCAGATGGCGCAGTTGAGGCGACGGCAGGAGGCGGGGGAAGGGGAGAGGACGCGGTCCCGACTTGAGCCATGACACCGCGAGTGGGGCCGGAGCCGGTGCGGTGGGTGGCGGATGGCGCGGGCGCGGAGCCATGATGAGCCTTGGGGGCGTCCGCCCACGATGGAGGCGCGGGAGACATGTCGGCATCCGCGGAAGGGGAGAGCTCGAGAAACTTCCTGCGAAGGGCAACGGGGGAGGGAGGGAGTGCGGGAAAGGGGGAGAGGAGGGGGGGGAGGGATGAGAGAAGAACGGAGCGATGACGCGAAAGTACGAGGGAAGGAAACAGGCAGTACGCGAGGCGACGACGATAAGAACAGGTAAGATTAAGAATGGAGTGAGGGCGGGGTGAGGAGCCGAGGCGAGGCAACGCAGAGCGTACTTTTTTAGCAGAATAAAACGGTTGCAGCACGCTTTATTGTCGCGGTACGGTAGCAGGCCGCTGCTCTTGAGCAGTCCCCAGTTCGTCGTGCCGTGCGCCGTGACGTGCGCGAGAAGAATCGCGTCCTCCTGTGCGCAACGCAACACACGCCGCACACATAGAAAGACGCGGGAATGGGGAAACAGGTGAGGCCTATAGTGGAGGGCGGTGCAGGACGGAGCTGTGGGACTCACGCGTGGGCGAGGAATTGCGACCGTGTAATACCGTCGGTGGAATGGCGAAGATTAAGCCCCGACGAACGAAAAGCAACCAGAATGGGTGTGGAACTTACCTCCGACGTCCATCGGCTCAGGTATTTGCCACCGGGCGGGCGAGCCTGACTGGGATCTAATGCGCGCTGCGGCTTCGCCTCCATGAGGTGGTTCTGGCGTTGCTGCTGCTGCTGCTGCTCGTGATGTGGCTGATGTTGCCGCTGATTGAGCTGGTGCTGCTGGTGCTGCTGGAGCAAGCCGGCGCTGCTGCCCGCCAGGTCCTCGTGCGAATGAACCTGGTGCTGAAACTCGGAGCAAATGTTGCGGTGCGGAAACTGCGGGTGCAACTGGGACATGGTCAGGCCGCCGTAATCGGCCATAAGCATGCGCGCGGCGCTGGAATCCAGGTCTAAGTGTGCGGTAGCCATTGACGCCGGCATAATGGAGCAGCGGGGATAAAGAGGATCCATTAGTGAGGCATGAAGTTGGCTCCTGGGGATTGCGAAAACGTTTCACCGAAGAAAACGAATGTGCTGAAGCTGCAGTGGCTTGGGCTAAGGGCGGTCTACAACCCTAGGAATCTCACGTACAACTTCGTGAACACCAGTGGAAGGACAGGAGCGGAAGTTTAAACTCTGAGCCCGTTGATATGGGCTGGGGAAAGGGGCAGAGATGGAGGCGTGATGTGGTGGAGTGGTGAAGCGGAGACGTGGAGTGGTGAAGCGGAGACGTGGAGTGGTGAAAACCCTCGAAGAAGACGAGGAGACCGGCCCTAGTTACCAGTTGCTAAGTCTAGCTTTGCTGTAGCAGTTGTCAGATGGGAGGTTACTGGCAGAGGCGGAAACGGATGGCTGTGTGGGAGGGGGAGCGACGGGGGAGAAGGGGAAGCTGGAGGAGGGAAGAGCGGAAGAAAGTATCTTCTCTCGCCTCCAACGATCCAGTTCTACCATTCGTGTCTAATGATCCATTGCCTCTAAACTCTCCCCCGGAACCATTGGTCCACGCGGAATGGCAATGTAGCTACAGTTAGAGTTGGAGCTGTTCAGGGGCGTGTTGGGAGAAAGGATCCATTTCAACGGTCTCGATTGTGGATTCGGATCGATGAACGAGCGGATTTTAATGTTGGGCTAGGGTTTGGTATGGTTGTGTTGTGATACTTTTCTGGTGGGTGGCATCGACACGACACTCCTTTCCGCCGCTGTCGGCTTGCGTCAACAAGGGATAGTGAGACAACTTGAAATGTAGGCAGATGGGCATGACAGCCTGGCCAAATCCGAGAAAATTATTGGCGCATGAGAGAATGGGACAAATTCAGCTGCGAATGGGACCATGGCCAAAAGTTCCCGTAACAGCCCATCGCAAATAGTAAATGGGGGCCCACCACCAGAAAGGAACCACAGCTTACACCAGAACTCCGCTAGATACTCACAAATCTTCCCGTCATTTAGATGTTTAGTGAGCGAAATTTCTTTCGCCTACTCGCCAGCGTTCGCCACTGGCAAAATCGGGACTGTAGTGGGCAGATGAAGAAATGTAACCAGTTTCTACAAACTATCTCACGAACGGACGGATGCCAGCGTGATAAGCTGTTTGTTTAACAGCTGGCTGGTACCAAATGCAATTGGACAGGCTGTCAAAATTTGACAGACCGAATTTGCGTGCAACAGCTGAGCATCCTGTGCAGAGCAGTGCTCGGCAGCAGGTGATGTTCAATCCTCGCCTCAAGATGTCTCAAAATGCAACACACTGTACTCTGTCTCTAACACTCAAAGTTGCAATCGACGCTGACATGGTGCTTCCTTTTTGCAATGCCAAGAGGCACTCGTCAGAAAGAAAGATGGACATTCATGGTCAGCTCCCCACAGTACCCCAAACCCAGGTCCGCAACAAAAACACGGTTAAAAACCAGTGTTTCTGTGCTGCAAAACGCGAAAGCCACACTCAGGAACAATATGTCCTGGCTACCCGAGCGGGAGGGAAAAGCATGGAGTTGGTTGAAAAAAATGTCTCTCCACGTCCACCCCAGGGCTCAGACTATCAGGGTAAATGCTCGTTCTTGACTAAAAATCCAAGATATTTTCCAGCCCAACTCGGATTTTTACAGGGAAGTTTTTCTGCCAGTCCTGACACAATCCGAGCACTTCCAGGACTGACTCTGATAAATCCGAGTACTCCTTCGAAGGACTCGTAACTTTTTCAAAGGCTCTAACCACCCCCAACCTCGCCCCCTCCCTGCTTCCTGGACTTGTGAATGCTTCCCTCCCGACCCTCAGTTCCTTAGTCAAATTCGGAGGCATTTGTACACTTCTGCTCTCTGTGAGCAGAGATCCACATGAAAGGAGCACAAATGCACCAACACAGAGTTTCAACATCACATTTAGTCAGAAAGAAGTCTCCACCATTGCCGCGGAACAATCGAATTACGTAAACGAGGAAATTTCAGGCCAGCCGCGATTTTTCCGAGCGGTTTTTTGGGCTGGGCCTGCGTTTTCAGGGCATTTTGTGAAGGGAACCCAAAACGTCCGAGTTGGCGAAAAGCCTAGGGCTGGTCCACCCGTTATAAACTCGTTCGTTTGTGATTGACGCCGCCCAGGGATTGTCTGGCATGAAACGACAACATACTCGACAACAACGTAGGGTCCCACCCTCTGCCAAGGTCTTGCGGTGCATCGTCTGTGGTGGTGCAGTTTTGTGCGCCAGGTTCTACACTTGCTCCAATAACCTACACAACGACAAGGGATGAAGGCAAACTTTAGTTACCACAACTCCATTCTCCAACTTTGTGCAGCAATATTGAAATAATTGCGCGACGCGACATGTTTCACATTTTTCTCAATCCTGTGGAATACACTCGCACCGAGCTCGTCGTTTTTTTTAATTATTTCTCAATTCCGTGGACAACTCCGACGCTGGGTATGCAATTATTGCATCGGGATAGCGTCAGATTCGTTATCACGCAAAAGCGCGGAATTTTTGGGACCCTAACCTAGAGAAGCTGGAATACGCAGAACAACCGCACCATGATGGCGTGTGTAGAAACAAGTGGCAGTCCAAAGAATTGAGAAATATCGAAAAACGGTGAGCGCGGTGCGAGGGTATTCCACAGGATCGAGCAAGATGTGAAACACGTCGCATCGCGCAATTATTTCAGCAATATTGCACGACAAGCAGGCCTCTCTTTTAGTTTTGAGGCAATCTTCCATTTCAGGGTCCACCCTGTGAGAATATTAACGAGGAATGACTAGAAACAGTGCAGTACAAATTTTGTATAGGCAAAACCTAACAATACTGTACCCCATAAGGAGTGCCCCACTACAGCCTATAGTATAGTTTTGACACACCCCAATAGACAAAGTGGGGGACAAGCAAAAGAACAAAGCAAAGGTCAAGCTTAGGGTGGATCACGACGTCACCACGCATTCTGAGCACAAGCAAAAGGTCACAGGGCCAGTTCACATACAAAGAGGAGAACAAGTAGTGCAGTGATCACAACCTAGCAAGTGTAAGCATGCAGGTGCAGGTATATATAAATCACAGTACAAGCAAAGTCAAGAGGTGAGCAAGTGAGGTCAGGTAGGCACAAGACCTAACATAGTACAAAAACGCTGATGATCACAAGGCTGAAGTGCCTTGGTAAAGATATCAACAGTGTTGGCCCGAGAGGCCACGTAAGCAAGACGAGGCTCACCACGCTGCTGCAACTCTTGTCAGAAACAAGAAGTGATTGAACTAGGAAGAATGGTGGTACAAGTATGAAACCCTAAAGTATTGTAGCCCCTAAAGGCTAACCCACTGCAGCCTACACAGCAGTAACATTTATAATGTTTGACACACCCCCATAGGCTAAGTGGGGTAGAGCAAGGAGTCACAAGACCAGTCAAGAAAGAGAACGCAAGCTCAGGGTGGATCACAAAGTCACCACACACACTGAGCACAAGCAAAGAGCCACAAGGCCAGTTCACATGCATAGGCATATATGCAACACAAACATTACAGTGATCTCTACCTAGCAATGCAAGCATGCAGGTGTATATATATACGTATATATATGAATCACAGTACAGGCAAAGTCTACAGCAAGTGAGGAAAAGTGGGCACACGCCCTAATAGAGTGCAGAAACGCTGATGATCACCAGAATGAAGTGCCTTGGTGAATATATCAGCAGTGTTGGCCTGAGTGGCCACGTAACGCAGACGAAGCTGACCACGCTGCTGCAACTCTCGAGCCAAGAAGTAACGTAGAGGGATATGCTTCGTTCTGTGCTCCACTCTGTGCTCCTCACACAAGGCAATGACAGCCTTGTTGTTGACGTACAGCACTGGAGGAGAACGAGGCTGCTCTCCCAGGTCGGTCAGCAGGTAGGTGAGCTAGCGTAACTCCTGTGCAGCCATGGCTGTGCCGTAGATCTCAGCCTCACAACTGGAGCTGAGAACTGAAGACGAACGCGTAGAACGCCACGAAACTGAGCCAGAGCCAAGACTGAAGGTGTAACCCTGTGACGACCGCTGAGTAGCCTAGTCGTCAACCCAAGAAGCGTCTGAGTGCCTAGTGAGAACAACTGAGCTCCTCCCTCCAAGCACGAGCCCCATGCCCGACGTACTGCATAAGTAGCGCAATACCCTCTTTGCAGCATCCCAGTGCACCTTTCGGTGCCTACCAGGAGCCACGTAGCGGGCCAGAAGGCCAAGAGGGTACGCTAGGTCAGGACGAGTGCAAGTCATCAGGTACATGAGGTAGCCAACTAGCTCTGGTTAAGGACCACTTGGCTCTACGGACTCATCCGAAGGCAGAGCTGAGAGCGAGTGACCTGTAGCCAGAGGAGTGGTCTGTGCCGAGGACCAGGTGAAGCCGAAGCGCTGAAGGACCTGCTGCACCATGTGTGACTGAGTCAGTGTGATGGTGCGGCGTGCTCTGTCCCGGGTGATCTGCAAGCCAAGGTAGCTGCGCAGTTCACCCAGGTCTGTGCATGTGTGCCTCTTCTGCAGCTCCGACTTCACGTGGGCGAGAGCCTCAGTGTTAGTAGTGACAAAGACCAAGTCGTCGACGTACACGAGGATGTAGAACGGCGACAGCGAAGTGTCGGTGCGCAGAAACATCGACGGATCAGCAGTCGAAGGAGCAAACCGAAGAGCAGCAAGTGTCATCCTTAGTGTGTCGTGCCAC